TAACAGTGCCATTTTACTATGTAGCATCTCCTCAAAAAAATAAAAAAATATTAATGAAGGGTTTGGCCAGGTAATGTCTGATTCTCTACCTCTTCTCCTGCTCCAAAGTTAGGAGGAAGGTTGGTGTTCATCTACATTCACCCCAGGATGTGGTAAACACTTATCATAGTCAGTGGGGCAAGCAAAATAGACACCTCCTAGGATTGGACAGTTAAGTGGACATCAGAATATGGTAGCCAGTACCACGGATGGGTGAATCTGTCAAATACAGTTTCTCTCATTTTCTCTTTCCCAGTATTAAGGCCAGTTCTCCACATTTCTACATCAGTTTGTAAAGTTTTTGTTTTTGTTTTAAAGTGCTTCTCCGTATCTTTGTGCAAATTTCTCTTAACATGCATACTTTTGTATAAAATTTTCCCTAATACACACATTTTTGGAAAGCCATTTCCCCTACGCTAATGTGTTTTTGTATGTTACTTTCACTGATATATGCATTCTTATGCACACTTCATGGGACGCGGGTGGCGCTGTGGGTAAAAGCCTCAGCGCCTAGGGCTTGCCGATCGAAAGGTCGGCGGTTCGAATCCCCGCGGCGGGGTGCGCTCCCGTCGTTCGGTCCCAGCGCCTGCCAACCTAGCAGTTCGAAAGCACCCCCGGGTGCAAGTAGATAAATAGGGACCGCTTACAAGCGGGAAGGTAAACGGCGTTTCCGTGTGCGGCTCTGGCTCGCCAGAGCAGCGATGTCACGCTGGCCACGTGACCCGGAAGTGTCTCCGGACAGCGCTGGCCCACGGCCTATAGAGTGAGATGGGCGCACAACCCTAGAGTCTGGCAAGACTAGCCCGTACGGGCAGGGGTACCTTTACCTTTATGCACACTTCAGTGTGTACAAAAATGCATATTTTGGGGTATTTAGCTAGAGAACTGCACCACAAAATTTATAGAAGTGCAGATTTCAAAGGATAGCTGTGTTTCGGTTCACATATTGTTTGGGAAACCGTGTATTTGTTAGGTAAGCCTTTAATTGAGACTCAAACTGAATTCCTGCCCCATCCCTAGCCAATATCTGCTTCACTGTTGAAAGTGACTTTTACAGGCTTGTATGTATTAGGGTGCAAGTAGTACCAAGGTAAGCCATTGAGGAGGGATTAGCTGTATGCAGATGGTTGGAAGGGAGGTAGCAGTTGACTTCTTCTGTAGCTCAGATTTTGATCCAAGCTGCAGAAGAATTTTCATGGTGTGAGCGTTATAATATTCACCTTGTATTTGAGGTAAGTATCATGAGCAACCAGAATCCAAGCTTTGAGGATTCCAAATTGGGTGGCATTTACTTTTTGTGGGGAGGGGGACAATTAAAAAAAAAATCAAGTGGAAATGACGGGAACGCTGAAATCAGTTGGCTTTTGTTAGAGGCCCTGTACCAAAGTCCATGAACATTAATAAAAAGATTCACCTTGACCACATGGGAGGGCTTAAAGGGATCCATTTAGGTTGTGATTCAACAAACCAAGTGCTTTGCTGAATTATAGCCTTACAAAACTGTTGATTGCAGGGTATTTTTTTTCAGAGCAGGGCCATCCGCTCTGGAACTCACTCCCACCTTTCAGTTAACCTTCAGGGCATGTTTCAGATCTGATTTATTTCCCAGGCTTTTGCCGAGAAAGAAATGTATTAAAAATTGAGGGTTCCATTTTTCACGGATAGTGATGGTGACATGGTGTGTTTGTCTTCTTTGTGTCTATGTTTCTGTAAATGCCAATGTATGTATTCACCAAATGTTAGTACTGCAGTGGTGGGTTAATTACAGCAAGGGATGATGAGACTGTGTCACCCCAAAATGAGCATTGTATATATATATGAATTCCCAGGAGTGAGGTATCAGCCCTATAAAAGATGTCTGAATTAAGATGTGATTGGAAGGCCTGGCCTCTTTTACACTACAGTATGGAGAATCACCTTTGTATTACAGAGAAAGAGAAACATGGGTAGGGACATGTGCAAGGAAGTGATGCTAAACGCAATGGAGAAAATGTGTTTTCAGGATTTTAGCAGAAGAACCCAAAGCTGACACAAATATGTGTTTCCCTTCCACACAATCTGATGCTTTTTGCATGTGTTTACATCCTATTTCCTTAAAAAACAAAACACACAAAAAAAATCACAAGTTTGTATGATAATTCACGTTGAATTTGTATTTAAAACTTCTTTTTCTAAACTGTGTTGAAATGTTCAAGAAGTGTGAATGCCAGTAGATAATTAAGTTCCAAGCCACACATTTATCCAGGTAGTACAAATTTTCTTCACATTGGAATTCACAGATATCAAATTCCTCACAAATCCCTGTGCCAATCTCATTCCACACCCACGGAATGGATTGTGCTAGGGTTATAAGTCCTCAGTTCTTTGTCCAGATCTTTCACTGCACATTAATATCATATGCTTCCTACCTTGCAGAGTGAGCAGATAGCTGCTCGAAGCTACATTTTCCCTTAGGGCATAAGAGTCAACTCCTAGGGGCCAAGGCCCCTTCACCCCCAATAAAATATTTGAGGGGCCTGTCCCCCCCCCAGTTAATGAGCATTGCTATTCAAATGGTGCGTGTGTGCTGTGTCATGTGACTGATTATGTGGGGCGGGGCTTACCTGCCCCCTCCAATATTTTATTCAAGTTGGCCCCCCTGCCTTAGTGCATGCAAAACTGGCAGAAGCGTTTGCCAGCCGCTCTAATCCATTTTCCTCTAGAAAAGTAGAACTTGAAGCTCAGTCTATAGCTCACTTGAAGGAATGGGTTTCTGTGCAGTCAGTTTGAAACTGACCCCAAATCCCAATTTTTCCTCCTCCAAGGGAGCATTTCTAAAATGCTCTAACTTGAGCTCTTGAGCCAAAACCCAGCTGTATAAACAAGTGCTCAAAGCGCTCTCCTTTATCAGTCTGTGATGGCAATGGATGGCCTTGGCTGTTCCAGTGGAGCAGGGATGGCACTCTTTTTATCTTATCTTACATCCTGACCACATTCTGATGCACAGACTTAGTCTGGGAACAGCGCCAGGAGTTGGTGACCTCTTGCTCCAAGATAAGAAGGGTGCCTGGAGGATATATATACTGCATGAAATCTCTCGTTTCTTTGGACTTGCTGTGGACTGAACACGCAAGTGCCTTCTGCTATCCGGAGAGCAGAATAAACTCTTTCTCTGAATCAACCTTGGTGTCATTTGACTTCCTCCCTCCCTCCCGGGAGCAACACAGACCCCACCAGTCGGTAAAGTCTAATAAGGCTACACAATCTCTCATATCACAATCTTGACACCCACCTCTTTCTTTGTCTCCCCAACTCCCATGTTAGTTCAGCAACTCTTTCCACAACGAAACTCTCTTCCCAAGGAAGAACAACAAAGATTGTGGAGTGGGCTGCAGGATCGTAGAGAACAGGCTGCATCTCTACTCCTTCAGCCATTAGCCATGAATAAGATAGATGTCCTTTGGCTGATCACCCTGAAACAGATATTTCTAATCCCCAGCTAACCTTGGTGGAGCTATTGACCCCTCTACATCCCACTTCCCTGGAAAGGCATGACTTCCTCCAATAGTCATATCCACACTCTCTCCCTGTGGCTTTTAAGAGGCCACAAACAGAAGTTTGGTCTGGTGTGGATTTGAGTTTCAAAGCCTGAAGTTAGTAAAAGATTCTGAACCTGGTAACTGAAAACATTCCAATTAATTAATATATAACCAGTTTAGATCAGTGCCAGGAATACTCCTGGTCACCTAGCAATTTTTTTAAAAAATAAAATGTTTGCTGTAACAGCCTCTTAAATTTAATCAATTGCAATATGCAGGGATACAAAGAAGCTGCTCTGTCCGGTCAAGATGGCGACAGGCCAGGCAGTCAGCTCCAGAGCTCCACAAATTTTAACTGAGTTTTAATTGATTTTATCTCGTTTTAACTCGTTTTAGACCAAGTATTTTATTTTTCTTAATTACCAACTGTTTCTTTTAACCTGGAGCTTGAGAGCAGAAGAATGTTGAGCTGTGAGCAGAGAAAGTGCTGGATGAGTCAGCGCCTTGCAGATAAGGAACAATAGACGATACCATCAATCTTGAAAGCCTGTGACTCCCACGGCAAAGGAGCTCAGCAAATTGGTCTTAATTACTTGCCTACCTTGGAAGCGGTCCCGCGGAGGGCCCTGCTGCGACCCCCAACACAGCTGGTGAGCCGAGGTGAGATTTTTACCAACCTGACCTTTACAAGATAGATAATGGTGACGACCAGGAGTGGCTGTAGAACATCAGGCTTTTATCAGAGTGATTTAAGACCCCTCTCTAAAAGAACTACCCTAAAGGGAGCACAACTAAAAAGCACTCGGTCCTTTAAGAATAGGGGTAAAGTCAAGCCGAGTGAGAATCACCAGGAAACTGAAACTTCTCCCTCCTCCACTGAAGGGCCGGCTGTGCAGAGAGAGGATTGCGTAGAAGAATGCCACAACAAAGGGCCAATAAAGCCCAAGGTAAATCCAAACATAATTGGTACAGTCACCGAAGTACTCCCAAAACAGAGACTTAAATCTCAAGCGTCCCCTGAACCATCCCAAGTCCGAGAAGTGGAAGAACTAATGTTAAAAACAAATTGCAGAGATGTCTTCGGGAAACCCTAAAACATCAAGAGACTCCTGCTTCCAACTTGAGACAAATGAGGATGAGGATTTATCAGTTATCAAATGGCTTGTGCTTTTAACTGAAGATATTGAAAACATAAAATCTCATCTGGCCACTTGTACAGAAATCCTCACTATAATGATGGACACTTGCAAAACTCTCTGTAGGGAACCCAGCGAGGTGACTGTAGAATTGGAAAGTAATAACAACTTCCTTCCTACCACCTGCAAAAACAGATCACCAAGGAAGGCCAAGAGATCTTGTAGGGCTACTGCCTTGAAAAGGAGGCCCATAAGGGTAAAAAAGAGCAGAAATGTTAAAAATTTTAAGGCAGTGCGTTACAAAAAAATGGACTTTAAAAAGCTCTTTAATCTTCTCAAGAGTATCCCAATAACCGAGACCAGTGGGAACACTGAGAAACTTCTAACCAGGAAATCTTCTAAGCAAGAACGTTCTATAAACCCTTGCCCTGATGCTGCGATGGATTGCTTGGAACCCTTAACACCTACCCCAATACCTAACTCCAAGCAAGACATTCTGATCCAAGATCCATGGTCTTACATTCTATCTGTAGATGAAACCAATCCCTCTAAGAAGAGAAATCTGACAAATCTAACAAATAAAAACTGGAATCTGGTGCTGTACCGAAACAAACTCGTTTTATCAAATTATCCTAAACCCCCAGGACTCCTGTCACAAAAAGAGCGTAAAGTCCATCTATTGAACCTTTTAAAGATCTATATGCCGGGTATCCTTAATAACCCTAATGATTTGGCCCAAGTGGAATATCTATACTTCAACGGATTCCTTGCCAGAGCGGTGGTCTCATTCTATGAGGGGAGACTGGCAAAACTAGTGTACAAATGTAGAGAACATCTGGAGACGTGTGGTATAAGAATCTCAAGATACTTTAAAAATGAAGCACCTCCAATTCCACTTATCCCCCATATTGTAAATTTGCCAAAAACTCAACACGAGATTGACCAACACGTTCTAATTGATATAAACTCTGCAGAGGACATCTTCAAACACCCTACTGGTCTGACTGCCAAGGACTCTCAAAGGTTGGACTCCCTTGGGCCCAGGCATCCGGAGAATCAGGGAATCGACCTTGATAGCTTTGATAATAACTTACTCCACTCTTATAGCGTTCTCCCGCAAGAAGCTCAGAAAGAAATACTTCATAAAATTGATACCCTTTACTTCTGCCTGACAAAAGTGACGGAGGAACAGCTGAGATTACCTAAACAAAATATGCTTGATAGAGACTGTGGTTCAGATTCTGCCCCATGCTTATACCACCAAGAACTGGACCTGTGGGTTGGGAAGGCACCCACCCCTACCAACCAACTGGTTGTTGCGGAGATGAATCCACTCTCCCATATTCTGGAGGCGGAAACCCCATCACCAGACCCATCTATCATGCACCCCATCTCTGAGGCAAATATGGCTACAACATCTGCCTGGGACAAAATGAGGGAACTTAATGAATCTGAATTAGGCTCTCCATGTAAAGTGCCCCATATGGGTCCACTTACTTGTAACTTTATTAACCCACTCTCTTCTAACGTGTGCAAGTTGAATAAATCCATAGATACCATCGAACCGGTAACAGAACCAGCTGAACCAGACCAACAAATGAGAGATGACTCTATTTTAATTTTAGCCCCGAAGAGTGATCTGGTTGAAGACCCGACAGGTCGTATTAACAAAGCTATCCAAACAGTTAATGATCACTCAACTAGTGGCACGATACCTGCTGACTTAATTTCGCTCTCTCTAAGTAATACCCCCCTAACTCTACCATCAGGCTCTGAAAAGTCAACTATCTTAGGCCTAACATCTGCCTTTAGCGAGACGAGTGGCACGACTTTACAGCCAAACCACCCCAATAAATCTAAACAGTTGGGATGTATAGCACGATTGCCACCTTCTCAAAGGAAAATTACTGATTTTTTTGAAGCTGAAACTCCCCCAAATTTAGAATCCCATTCCCACATGATCTGACTACCTAACGACCAACCCAGCCACTCCTCGATGTCATTTTTATGCTGGAATATTGCGGGATGGAGGGGGAAGAAATCTGATCCAGACTTCTTAAAATTTGTTAATTTATTCCAAGTAATTCTCCTACAAGAAACTTGGGAAGAGGAGGTGATTGACATAAATGGATACGATACCATTTTGCTTCCAGCTAGCCCCTCTCTTAAAGGTGGACGCCCTAGGGGAGGTTTGGTAATAGCCATTTCCCTCAAATTGCAAGCAAAACTTACACTTGTTAAATCTTTCTCTCCTTATGCGATTACAGGATTGATTTCAGGAGGGAAATTTGAATTACTGGTAACAAATGTTTATTTCCCCCCTGGGGGGCAGGTAGGGGACCTCCATTCCAAATGGGAAACACTTGAAGAACACCTAGCTTTCTGTTACACTAAGTTCCCAAACACCTCAGCAGTCATGGGAGGTGATTTTAATGCTCGTACAGCTGCAAACTGGGAAGCACTAGGCAAGGCCAAATGGTGGGTCATACCTGATCACCAGAACTTGGATCTCTCCCCCCATATACAGAGAAAATCGAAAGATAATAGGGTTAATGAAGCGGGAACCCTTCTTTATCAGCTGATTTTACGTTTGAATTTGATAATTTTAAATGGAAATTGTCCCCCGGATATTCCGGGTGAGTTTACTCATTTGAGCACACTTACAAATAGTGTTCTCGATTATTTTATTGTTTCTAGAGATTTATTCCCAAATTTTTCTTATTTTAAAATAGAAAATGTCCAAATGAGCGACCATCTCCCCTTGAGTGCCAAGCTTTCCCTAGACTGGCAGTCTATCAAGTCTAGACACCCCATATATATGGGAATAAATAATGCAGAACAAGTGAGAGGAATAAAATGGTCAGTAACTCAAGCCCAAAAATATATGGAATTCTTCCAACAAGAGATAATTCAAACTCATGCTGTTTTAGATTTAGATCTGTATGGGCATGAACAAATTATCAATTCATTCTCTCTGCTTACAGAAGATCTTATGTCCTTTTTCACAGTACCAGCCATCCAAGTAAATCGGGCCCTTTTTAAGACCGGTGCCCCTTGGTTTAACTTAAAATGCAAACAAGCTAGACGACATCTTTGTGCCATTTACAATGAATATAAATCTTCTGGTGCTTTAGTATTACCTAGGAATTACCAACAAGCAAAAATAGCATATAAGCAAGCCCAGAGAATGGCTAAGCAAGAGTGGCAACAAAATCGTTGGCAGGCGCTTATAATCGCCTCTAGTTCACGTAACTCACGGCAATTTTGGCAATTGATTAATAGAAGATCAAGGAGATACCCCTTAACAATAATTCCTGCCCCGGTCTGGGAATCCTTTTTAAGGAAATATTTTGCGTCACCAGATCCCAATACCAACGTTCTTGATGATGTATTTGATCATCTCCCCATCTGGCCTCCTACTGACCCCGATGAAATCTTGAATTTAATCTCTAAACTTAAAATCGGCAAAGCCCCTGGGCCAGATTTGGTTCCGGCGGAAGCCATAAAACTACATTCCGACTGGTGGGCAAAAATCTTGGCTGTTACTTTCGATGCTATTAATGCAACTGGAAGGGTGCCAAAAATATGGAAGGACGCAATTATAATTCCAATATATAAAAAAGGCTCCCCAGACGATCCGGAGAATTATAGGAATATTAGTTTACTGTCAATAGTTGGAAAGATATACGCACGTTTTCTGCTGAATAGACTTACCCAATGGGCTGAAGAAAAGAAACTGATAGGCCCCGAGCAAGCAGGATTCAGACCGAACCAGTCAACTACGGACCATGTTTTAGTCTTGCACCATCTAGCCCAGAAATATTCCTCTTCAAACCGAGGCCAACTTTGTGCGGCTTTTATCGACCTTAAGGCTGCATTTGACAGCATCCCCAGAAGGTTACTCTGGGAAAAGTTGGCCCGATGGGGAATTGATAGAAGACTTTTATGGTTAATAATCCAGCTGCATGAGGGGTCGGCTGCTAGGGTGAGAATAACCCCAGCCGGCGATCTCACAAACTCTGTGCCCATCAACAGAGGAGTCCGGCAAGGATGTATCCTAGCTCCTTTTCTTTTCAATTTATTCATTAGTGATATGAGGATACCATTGGCTGAATCTCAGGAAATCATCCATGCCCCCCGTCTCGCAAACTATCGTTGCCCATTATTACTCTATGCTGATGATGCTGTGATTTTATCCTTCTCAAGAATTGGCCTCAGGAGAGCATTAAAACTCTTTGTTTCATATTGTAAAACAAATTCCCTCACTATAAATCAATCTAAATCAAAAGTATTAATTTTCTCAAAAAGTCGGAAATCCTATAAGTGGCAATTAGATGGAAAACCTATTGAACAGGTCTATAAATTTCAATACCTGGGAGTTTTTCTCCAATATAATCTGGGTTGGAAGGCGCATATTGCATATGTTTTAAACAAGGCCAAGGCCCTATCCTTTGCGCTATTGCGCTTTTTCTTTTCGGACGGGGCTCTTCATGTTCCATCTGCCTTGAAAGTATTCAAAGCTAAAGTAATTGCAACATTGGCATATGCTGTTCCTTTATGGGGGACCGCAGTAAACTTGATGCCCTTGGAGGTAATTCAAAATCAATTTCTAAGACGACTGCTAAAACTCCCTCAGTGCGTTAGTAACGCAGCTATTCGCTTAGAATTAAAAACTACATCTTTAGAAAATACTCTTTGGAGGCGTAGCCTTTGTTACTGGTTGTCCTTAAGGCATAGACTCCCGAACCTGTATTTGATCCAATGCCTCTGGAGAGATAATTTTCCCGTCCTAGGGGCAAAAGAGATCCATTCTAAAGTAGTGACCTATGGATTGTCTCCATCAGAATTATTGGAATTGGACCTAGCCACAGCAAAAAAAACCCTCACTCAAAAACTTGAGGAGATTGACCTACAACAAAACACCATTTTGGGTAGTGGCACTTGCTCACCATTAAATCTTGGCATAGTCCCCTCACAGCAGATACCATCTTATTTGACTTCTTTGTCTGTAGCGGTCCACAGATATGCCTTTATTAAGGCAAGATTTAACGCCTTTCCTTCCAATGTCTTGAATAATAGATTTTCCAATGGTCAGATCTCAGCGGTGTGTGTATGTGATAATAGATCTATAGAATCTTTACAACATATACTATTCTGTTGTCCACTACATTCAGTTTCTCGGATCAGATTCTTGTCCCCTTTATTATTGGAAATCTCAGGTGACTCCTTGGAAACACAGCTAATATATTTATTGCAAGATTCTGATCCGAGTAGGTCCCTTTCTGTTGCCAGATTTCTGATAACAGTATTAGCTTATAAGAGGAAAAATGGATTACTCTATGACTATTGATTTTGCTTAAATAATATTGATATATATTGATAATTTGATATTTTAAGCGATATATTGTTCTTATTTTAATGGAATTTAGAAATTTACGGTTTGAGATGTACTTGATTTAAATGTATTTTAATTTTTAATTTTTTAATTTTATTTTGTTATACTTGTTCTGTTGCATGATGTATTGAATATGGGCCTATGGCCGTAATAAACTAATCTAATCTAATCTAATCAGGGATACAAATTCTTAGGTTGGTTCCTCACGCCGCCTCCACCTTTTAACCTTTAAAAAATTTATCTCCTCTGAGCATTATGCTTTTCAGATAATTATATTAACATGTATTAAAAGGAGTATACTGGGACTTGAAATTCACATACCAGAAAAGTGCCTCTATTCTGACTGCTAACCAGAGAGCAAGCATAACTTCAATGGTTAGTTAATGATAATGAAAAAAAGTTTCATCATTTCCAATTAGATCTTTTTAGGGAGCGCTAATTATTATCCTTTTCAGTCAGAGATACAAAGGACAGAGGAGCAAAGAGCTCTTCCATATAGTCGCCACTAACCTTGATCTGTCCTAAAGATTAGATCAGATTTAAAGAAATGTTCCCTACAATATTCATTTAATTCCTAATTGGCGGTCTTTAATAATTTAAAAGTGATTGCTCGTTTTTAATACTGTTTCACAATTTTAATTGTGTCTGGCAAGAGGCCTTTCACATACTAAGAACAAAAGGGGTAGTGATTCCATCTGTTCTAAAGGTTACAGTGCTCTCATCTACAAGATTTGACCTTCTTGCTAATTTCCATTCAAGCAGGTTTATGGTTCACACTCACACAACAGAAGGAACAATATACCTGCACACCTTTTATATAAACCCATTCTTTTCATGAACTGGATATACTGGTGATGAAGACCCTGGGGCACTGTGGGAAATGGAACACAAACATGGACCTGGGCCACACTGGGAAATGTCATGTCAAGAACAGGACTTGAGAACTATGGGAAATGTAGTGAAAAAATTGGCCACAAACAATATGACACTTTCTTTCTTACTTACTTTTCACTGAAAATGTTGTCCCCTTTGAAAGACTGATCATTGTATCACAAATCAGTATGTGACCACAGCTGCATGGAAGTTATTGGCCCAGAGATGGAAAGAAGACAAAGTCCCGACCAGAGAAGAATGGCAGATTAAGTTGATGGATTATGCCAAAATGGCAAAAATGATCGGAAGAGAAAGAAGGTACGTTCACCCCTTCAGACATAGCATCCGGGGCGCACTGCCCCCCATCCCCTTGCAACGCCACTGGTGTTAGCCAATCACATGAGAACTACTAGAGAACTCTCTAGAATTCAGTTACCAACCAATCAAATGTAAACACATAGTAATGCATTCAAG